AGTTCTAAGTTGCTTCTCTCCTTGATTAGTTTCCACCCATTGCTTCTTGTTCCGCCCTCAGGTGCTTTGGAGAATAGTTTGACTCCCTTTTTTGTGGCAAATTCTTGACAAGACTTTAGAAGCAGCTTGTCCTTGCCTCTTCCTTCCTAGGGCTGAGAGAGTAATGATCCAAGGTCATCCAGCTGCATTCGGACCTAAAGGAGGACTAGAATCAGTCTCCCAGTTTCTAGCCTGACCTCTGAATCATTAAACCAAACTGACTTTGTTGAACTTGGCAACTATTGTCTTTTCTGAACTGTTCCATGCCTTTAGATATGGCAGCTAGGACACTCTATAGTTTGTTTAACAAACCATAGCTTAATGCAATTTGTGGATTTAGAAGACTATCTAAAAAAAAAATCTAACACACAGAAGCAGCTCTGACAATGGGTCTGAAAAAGATGCTTACACCACAAACTAGTTTTAATACTCATTCCTTCTTTGCCCACTGTCTTGTGATTGTGAACATTGTTGACAGCTACATCAAACACAATTGCTAGAATGCTATTGGACATGTGGTTTATTGTGGTAGATGTGAACTGTAAACCTTTGTAAAGCACTGGATATACACATTTCTCTGGAAAATTTATGTGCTAGTCTGGGAGAAGGCTAGAGTAAGTCTCCAATCTTATACTGCCTCCCTCTGGCATTGGAGAAGTTGGCTCTCCCCAAAATAAGTTAATTTTCACGCCCTGCGTTGCAGGTTCTCAGCAATGGCAGACAGTATGTAGCTGCCGTTAGCTTTTTTAGCCGTCAGATTCTTTTTATTTGTTTGTGTACTGCCAAAATCCAATAATTCCTGCATGAAAACCTTCAGTGAATGCCTATGCCATAGGCGTAGTTGAGAAATGAAAGAACCTTGTGTGGCAAATCATTTCCATATTGTTGCCAAGAATACTACATTAGTGTATTCTGGAGCTGAACTTGATGTTATGCTTTAAATTTTTCATCTTCTGGTGTCAGTGTGACATGGAACTGGAATTAAATCCAACAGGCTTAACTCTCAATCAAGTAGGGAAGAAAATCAAATATATATGATTACCTAATCTCTGGTTAAACATGCAGGTGACTGGCTCACCATGAACACATCATCAGGTTTTTTTGTAGGTAGATTTGTTGACTATGGACATTGGTGATGTCTTCAGAGAGCCATATGCAAGAAACAAAAGGTGTTGAAGGTGTGGGCAGACCCAGGTGCTGTTCCACCATAATCTAAAAAAGCTTTCTGGGTAACTTAGATCTAGTTACTCTCTCAGTCCCTCCCTACCTCACAGGTTGTTTGCCTTGGGGAAGAATAAAAGGAAAACTATGTACATTGCTGCCTTGAGTTCCAGAATAAAATATTCTGCTAGTAAATGGTGGTCTTGTGATTGGCCACACCAGCACAAGATGAGTATATAAATGTGATAAATAGATAAACAAATAAATAATAAAATAAAATCATGTGGGATTGCACTGAGCAGTCTTAGCATTAATTTGAAGACTACATTTTCCTTTGCACAAAAACAGCAACTCTGTTACCTAATGGCACAGCAGACTTTGCCTTTTAACTTTTGTCTCTATATGTGACTGTTATATTTTCAATATGTTATTTTGAAAAAAAGTCTGAGACTATGCAGTAAGTTCAGCAAACATGTAAAGATGCATTAGGATAAGAACAATAGTTTAATAAATCATTAAATTAGACAACCTGTCACTTGTCTTTCAGACATTTCTTTAGTAAACAGAATGACCACGGGTGGGCAAAGACATTATGGGAGCAGGAACAACTTCCGTTTTCCCGCCGTCTTCTCCATTGAATTGACATGAGGGGAAACTGGTAAAGAGCATCAGAAATGCTTCTTCCTCCCTCCTTGTCATTCTGTCATTTTCTTCCTTGCTTCTGTCTTCCTTAGAATTTCTGCCAGCTTCCCCATTTACTTTACTTGTGGGAAGCTTGTGGGGAAAAAGTCAACGGGAAGTTGCAAGTCCAAGGCTAGCAGACAGGTAAGTGGGGAGTCATGAGAGGCGCTGTGTGGTTGGCGAAGCATCTCCGGATATGTGGAAGAGATGACATACAGGTTGGGGAGGGTGCACAGGGAAGTGGTGTGATTCAAGAAGAATTGGGGTGGTAGTGTTCACAGATGGGGCATGGGACTGCTTGGGAGAGTATGAGAGGTGCCATGCAGGTTGGGAATGGTGCAGAGAGGCAGTGTGGTGCAGGTCAGAAAAGGCAAATGGAGGTGTGCAAGAGGTGCTGTATGGGTTAGGAAAGGCACAGGGGTAGGGTGGCACAGGCCTGGGAGGATGTGTGGGATTCAACAAACACAACATGATTTTGGGGAAGATGCAGGGAACAGCATGGGCCAAGAAAGTGCTGAGTTTTCCCCCTGCTCTGTTCCTTTCTTCCTTCCTTCCTTCCTTCCTTCCTTCCTTCCTTCCTTCCTTCCTTCCTTCCTTCCTTCCTTCCTCCCTCCATATTAATTTCCTTCCTTTCCCAGCAGGAGGATAAGCCCATTTGTGATACCTTGGTTCAAAACTTGTTGTCCTAAGATGCCTCATTCTGCCCATTTAAATAAGAAAGAAGTTTAATATATAAATTTTCTAATAAAATGTTAATTTTAAAACAGGTTTTGCCCAAGAGGAATTGGATATTATGCATATATTCATAGAAAACCATTCATTTGACATTCTCAAGTTAACGTCTTTCTTTTTCTTTCCTTCTTTTTCTCTTTCTTTCCTTTTTTCTTTCTCCTCTGTAGTTCTTTTTCAAGAGAATTGTTTTTTTCTGAAATCACTTTAGTTTAAAACAATATGCTGATTCTTCAGAGATGTTCTGCAGAAAATTTATTAAAAATTCTTTAATTTCCAATTTTCTTCAGAGTTCTTCTGTAAATTAGAGGTCAGAAAACACCATCAAGGATTTCATGATGAAATATTCTGAAAAATGTAATAAACAATTTGGCTAAATCTAACAATCAAAACAATTTCCTTCCATAATTACATGCTACACACTTTCTTCCCTCAGCCATGTGCTAATGTGTTTGATGCTATCACACCTAATACTGGGAAAGATTGAGGGAAAAAGAAGAGAGGGGGCGACAGAGAATGAGGTGGCTGGATGAAGTCACTAAAGCAGTAGGTGTGAGTCTAAATGGACTCCGGGGGATGGTAGAGAACAGGAAGGTCTGGAGAAATGTTATCCATGTGGTCATGATGGGTCAGACACAACTTCGCAACTAACAACAACAACAATCACACCTAGTCAGCATTATATCTGCACTGGGACATTTTATCCACAGTGAATCATCTATGAGGCAATGCCTGCCCTTTGGAATAAAGTTTCCCCCATAGATTCAAATGGCTCCCTCTCTACTTGTGTTTTGAAGAACCCTGAAAACTTGGATTTTCACCTTGGCCTTTGATGAGCATGTTTGAAACCCCTTTTTTTCCTTTCTCTTTTTGTTTCTCATCTGATTTTATTTTATCAGTGCATCTTCATTCTTTTTTGTTTTGTGGTGTTTTCTTATTTTTAATAATTTCTAAACCGCCCAGAGTCACTGAAAGCCAGGTGACATATAAACTGAATATGTAAAGAAATGGAGGTCAAAAAAGATAAGAGATTTCAAATGTATGCTATATGTAACTGGAATAAAGATGGATTTGATTTTTAAGTGGACAACTCTGAAACTAAATCAGAGTCTCAAATAATTTTTATTCAATCGGCTTGTAAGGAGGGAAGATGGTTTGGTTATACTGTGTTTTCCCGAAAATAAGACAGGGTCTTATTTTCTTTTCATCCACAAAATATGGCTTGGGCCTTATTATCAGGGGAGGGCTTATTGTTTTCGGGTTGGCATACTCTCAACTCCCCCATCTGGCCAGGCAGAACGCCACTTCCTGACCTAACGGTATCCCGAAGGCGCCAAGCAACATGAGCGCCTTTCTCCCCGCTCCCGCGGCTTGGCGCTTTCGGGATACTGCCTGGCTGGGGGGGTGGGGTGTCCAGGGGGCTTATTTTCAGGGGGGGGCTTATATTTTTGCCCACACGAAAAATGTGGCAAGGTCTTAGTTTCAGGACAGGTTGTATTTTCAGGGAAACATGTTAGGGTTTGCTAAGGGGATTGGACTAGACCTCCAAGGTCCCTTCCAGCTCTATTCTGATTGATATCCAGAACACGTTTAACTCACTTAAAGAATCAATAAGGCTAATACTTACCATTTTTTTCTTTTGCATGATAAAGATATGAATGTCTTCACTCCGATATTCTTCATCATGTTCACCCAAGGGAACCTTTTGCAACTCAAAGTCTCTCTGAAGAAGCTGTGATTTAAAATTATACCAGAATAAGCTCTTAAAAACCACAGTATTCTCAAAATATGATTTGTGCTGCTTATGACTGTTTAAGGAAATAATAGAAAGCATGAAATCATCACTCAGTATTTTAGAATCCTGGTTTTGAAAACCTGCCCCTTCTACTCTTGCAAAGACCCCCCTCCCCAGAGAAATTTGATTCCTTCAGATCCACTTGAATGTGACTCACCTCAAAGTATCTTTTCTCTACTTCTGGGTTTTGTCCCACAGTCCTTTCTTCGTAACAACAAAGGATGAAAGTATCCAAGCCAGCCAAGTCCCTCAGGGTCTTAACCAATGGTTCCAGTGACTAATCATGAAAGTTAGATATTTGACATTTAGCCTCCACCGTTTATATATGGCTCAGTCCAATTTGTACTTCAAAAAGCTGAATACAAGCAACTGGATCACTTTATTAGCACGTATTATTATTTCTTTTGATGGCCTCTCAAAACTTTAAGTTATTTTGAATAATTATCAGGCAACTAGCAGTAGTAAGTGCAAGTAGAATCCAGAGAAAGATCAGAATATAGACTTAGGATGACAATCATGAGGTACTGAATTATTTTTATTTTCTATCAGCCTGACAAAGGGTGACATAGGAGTTAGAGAAGGAGAGGACTCTCAATTGCCTAGATTCCAACTTTCAAAATCATGAATAAATCATCATGCTGAATGTTTATGAGAACTGTAGTCTAAAACATCATTGGGGTCCTTGGCTGTCTACCTTAAACGTATAGCATCTGACCAAAACTGGAAGATCTGGACTCAACATCCTATTTACTTATGAAATTCACTGGATAACATTGGACTACTCGCTATGACTGCCTGTATGTATCTCACAGAAATGATGTGAAGATAAGATAGGTGCAAGGACCGTAGCCCTTTAACAGAAAGGAAAGGGCTTTTTTTAACCATAATTAAATGCAATTTTAAAGAATTTGGGCAGGGTGAGCTCCTCGAGATCATTCAGAAATCTAATAGCCAAACATAAGACTCAAAAGTTCAAAGGTGTTCCATAGGCTTTGTACTCCCTACTGGAGAACGAAAACACAGCCCACTGATTATCATTTTACTGTGGCATTTCTACCATGATCTCACAGCATCAAAATCAGTTCAAAGGATGTCACAAGTTTAATCCCAATTACAGGGCTAGAGCAATAGCAATAGCAATAGCAGTAGACTTATATACCGCTTCATAGGCCTTTCAGGCCTCTCTAAGCGGTTTACAGAGAGTCAGCATATTGCCCCCAACAATCTGGGTCCTCAGATTGTCCTCAGAGCACAAAATATGGAACATTGTAATGAGATTTTGTTTAATGGTTCAAAGAATTCTTCAAGAATATACTATTTATTAAAATAATGACCAAATAATAAGGTAATCACTAATACAGATAGTCCTCGATTTACAGTTCACTTTGTGACCATTTGAAATTGCAATTT